CGTTTTCTGCTGTCTGGAAGCAGCTTTCTGTGCTGCCTGGGCTTGTTCCATAGTCAGTCGGTTCATGGTATTGGTCCATGATTCCAATTTCCTCATTGAAAATACTCGTTCTTCCCCTTCGTCGTAGTTCACTGGTTGCTTTTTTTGCAGTCGAGTACACGTTGCATTTTCTTCCAATACTTGTTTCTACTGATTCATTAGAGAACGTGTTATTCAGCGTGAATTATAATTAATATGGGCCTAGGGACTATGGAACATTCTGGTTTTTGTTTGTTTGCTTATTTTGTGTTTGTTTGTTTTTTGTTTGTTTTGATTTTTGGTTATCAGAACTGAAGAGTGGGTGCAGAAGATTATTTAATTATGTCAGTAATATTAGATACTGCAAAAGACCCCTTTCTGCAAACACTTGTGTGCAAGCATGCTCAGCACGCTCATTCCTCCACCATATGTTCATCGGTGCTGTGCACGGGGAAGAGCACAGTAGCCATTAATGTCACTGGTGTTAATTACCTGTTTGGGTGTGCGTGATACATGTTATTTTCAAAGCGTTTTCATCCCTTAATTAAAGCACTTGCATGTCTCGCAAACATGCAGCATGAGTGATGTCACCCTGACTTTGACAGGTAAACAGGGGGTGGGAAGAACTACTGATTTACTGTGGACATAAGCTTGATGTTGTGAGAAGGGCTTGTAGCTGAAGAGAGGGACCAGCTTAGGGAATTCCTAGCTCCAATGCATTGTATTTAGGCCAGGGTATTAATAACTTAATAACACTACCTACCTTGGGTCCGTACGTTGCTCTTAAGGAGATTGGCTGCAGTGCGGGGTGCACTGTGGAACGGTAACAGGTTAGTCGCCTGGCACTACCCGGGGTATAGTGCTTTGGCTGGTTTCATTTAAGTAACACAGGCCTAAGCAAAAGCTTGCTGTTTTTATACGTGCTTCTGAGCAGAGCTCCTCTTATGCTCTGCTTCTCTGGTTATGTTCAACTGGCTGGACCTGGATCAGAGCCAATCCAGAAATAATGCAGCCAAGTTAGCTTGATGCTTTGCTTGAGCTAATGTGTCATGCTGTAGAGCACTGGGATCAGAGCATGCTTGCATCAGGCCACTTGGAATCTGGGCAGAGCTCTTTTCTATTTGCAGATGTAGCCTAAAAGCCTCAATACTTCTCCATTTTTAGAGGCTGCCCTTTACTGTCAAAGACAAACTACTCCGCAAACCCCATGTAAGCTCTCTGTACTTTGTCATAGGGAGGGTTTCTTGGTCTGGGCACCTAATCTTTTTAATAAACATTAAGTCTGGTTGAGAAGTAGACTCATCCTTATTCAGAAAATATCAAGAAATTCAGTAGCTGCATTTTTCGGGGGTGTGAGTACCACCAAATAAAGTATTTTGAGTCTGTTCTCTTAGTATATTGAGGGATAGGATTAATTTTTGCAATACCCTTTTGTTATTGCTGACACTTGCAGATTGCAGATTCAAATCAGATTGCTAGGCATTGTCAATTTAAGATAATCACAAAGATTGCCAAGAATAAGAAATCTCCTGCATATAAGATTGAACATTGATTTCTTCTCTGGGTGAGCGCGTTTGAAGGAGCCAGGTAGGACACATTGTCCTATTTCATTTAAAAATGTGACTCTCTTGTTGCTATAAAAATGCAAGTTTCTTGAAAGAAAAATCAGTGTCTATCTCTCTATTTTTTTTTTAAGGAGCTCTGTTGACGGTGGAGCATGTGAAGAATGATGTCAAAATTTCAGTGGAAGAAGGCAAGGAAACCATACTCCGAGTATCTGAGTAAGTGACTCTGCATCTCCCCTCTCCTGCTCTTGGTCAGCAGTTTTGAAAGTCACATGGTTGCACCATTAACAGTAACCTTTTTAGGAAGGAGGAAAAATATGATTTTATTAATTACTGCATTACTGTTCTTTCTTTGTAGCATAGACAGAACATTTACAACGTACACTTCATATTCATGGAGAGCTTTGTCATTTGCACTCACTTGTGTCTGTCTGCTCTAGTCACTTAGTTAATACCTTTCATTTTGTTGTCTGGTTGTTTTCCTTTTCCCTGCGCTGTGGATTAGGCCAAAGGAAAGTCCTTTTGTATTAAACAAGACAGTGTTCAAGTCTGCATGATTGCTTAGATTTGCACTTGTGTGATAGGATGACTTTGAAAGGTTTTTAAGGCATTGTTTTAGGTTGACTGTTCCATAAAAGATGTGAAGGCAGTGACATTTCAAAAAAGTGCCAGTTAGCTCTGTCTTGCTCTTCTGTATATCCATCTGCATTCTCTAGATATAAATCTACAACATTTTGTAGAAAACCCAGCTTCACACTACTAAAAACAGACTGTCACTGGAATAAATATTTTCACATTTGGAGCATGAGGGTTTGTGTGTAGGTTCATATGCATATCAGCAAAACAGCAATGATTGTTAGTTTTAAGGAAGCTGCATTGTCATCTTAGATTCCTTCTCATTTAAGATATCCAGACATTATTAAGAGAAGAGTTCCCAATAACTCAAATCCCACTGACACATCACTTAAATCAGTGGAAATTTCTCATGTCTAAGATCTC